GCATATTATCGGACCTCGATTTCTGATAAAGTAGTACAACATTGTATAAGGTACTGTAAGGTTTATGAATGTAATAAAAGTACATAAGGGTAATACCCCTTTTAAACATATAAAATGCATAATATTGGACCTCCCTTTTTTGAAATGTATTGTAAGGATTACCAAGTTTTGAAAGGGTAATATATATTTGTAATGTTTTACAGACTATACATAGTTATTATTCCTTAATAATAATAATTTTCCCTTACATCCATTCATTATTAAAATAACAAAAATCGATTATATTAAAATATTTGTACGATACATCATTATCTACAATAATTAAGGAAAATAAACCGAAACACATACATAGTGCAGCCTGTGTCAAGATTTGTGCAGAGAGCAAGTGAGAGTGTCTGTGTCTGCTGTGATGCAAATACGAGTAGGTAGAGGTTGGGATCGGACCAGACTCGAGCGGCGAACGAGTGCATTACGGGTGTCGGTTGCCAGGCCCATCCCTTGACCAGATCCAGACGGACCACCCAAAAGCGAGGGCATTGAGAGGCTCAACGGTTATGACTGCATCTGTGGTTGACCTGTCCTTGCAAGCACACTGCATCACCCATCTCAAAATCACCAAAGTCTGCCATCTCCACTTTGCACACGCTACTGCACGTTGTGTGTGGATATCCGAACGGGCAGCCATACAGTGAACTATCGGCAGAGAGCGAGTCGAATTCGCTGTAGTCGTCAGAATTGGCAGTAGATGCTGATGAAGAGACACTCACAGTACTTGTAGTGTATGATGAGCTGCCTCTTGCCTTGTTCTTTTCCTAACAGCATCCGCAACGGAAGAGGAAGGATGTGTTCTCAGGCCGTTTGATGTAGTCTTCATCACCATGCTTTGGTCGTCGCTCGGTCCCTGCAAGTTGAATTGTGTGTGTGTGTGAATTGAGGTCGAGCAGGTTGTGGAGGCTGAGGCTGTGCCTGTAAGACGAGTTTAGAGTGATTAGCGAGTGAAAATAAGAGAGAAAAGGTGGACACACTGTGACAGCATACAGTGAGTGTAAGTGGTGCACTGAGGTTGGGATCCAGAGCGTTGAACAAGCTGATTTGAGCAGCAAGCAAAGCCATGTCTGTACGTGCACATCACATGCTCTGACTATGTCTTACAATTGGAGGTGCAGAGAACTTAGGTGTTGTGTGTGATTGTAAAGGTGTATCTCTGGGACGTTCTGGCTCGAAGGGAGAGGGTGATGTGGGTGATGTGAACAGACTCGGCTCAGGAGGGATAAGCAATGGCCACTGCTTACCTTATTCAAAATGGTGTCATGGACAGCACTGAGGAATGTAAATGTGTGTAGGGCAAATCTGTCAAGAGTGATGTCAAACAAGGATTGTATGAAGGAGTAGAACACGTACAGCATTGAGGAGAGGGTGGTACCATAGGAGTGGTTGTACATGAACATTGTTGCAAGTATGCTCGTGTGTGCTTGTCAAGTGTTGCTTGCACTGTGGAGTGGGATGAAGTATGCAAATGTGTGGAGTTATTAGAGAAGTCATTCAGCACTAGTCAACAATGCAGATGTGCAAATGTGAATTCAAAAAGGGAGACGAACGTAAAAAAAGGAGGACAATGAAGGGGAGGTAATGCAAGCAGTGGGACAAGGAGCAGAAGGGATGGAAGGGAGACAAAAGGTTGGGAGGAGAGGGAGGAGCAACTATTGTACAGGCTATTATGAAGTGTACTGGCTGCTTACTGCTTTATGTTGAAGGACAGTGTGGTCAGCTCAGTAGCACAACATGGGATCTGAGGCTCTGTACAGGCACTGCAACAGTAGATTGGAGAGACGAGTTGCAACAATGTTTATTATCTGTGTTGTTGCACTCAGAGTACCTGCTAGAGGACACTTGCAAGTAAAGGACTAAAGCAATAACATAGTGTCAGGGCAGAGGGTTAGACTTAGAGAGATGGTGGAGGTTGGAGAGAAAGAGTGACAGCTGTAAGTGCGTCATTATATGCTCTCGATCTTCAACGTTGATTACATAATCGAAGTTCGTGATAGTAGCAAAGCTGTAAAACAAAACCAATATTACATTTAGATGTAAAAGGAAAGCATTAATTTACTTTATGATACAGTTGATAGTAATCTGACATGTCTATATTGCTTTTAGCACACTAATATAAGTTTTACAAGTATCTGAATGCCTTATACAAACAATATAAAATCTTTTACAAGGTGAATTTTAGTCTGTCTTCAAAGTTATAATCTAAGTATAATACTTTAGCTTATAATGTAAGGTTATCATAATGTATTTGATGAATTGTAATCATTTGTAACACTTTTAGAGTCTATATATACATTAATATACCTTATTTTATTATAATAATTGTGTTCTAACCCTTACATATGAATTATAATGTATATAAAATGTTTATACTCCTTTAAATAGGCTGTAATTCATTATATTAAATCTGACTTTTTCCTGATGCAACGTTACTGGGACTGGGTTTGAGGATGTTGACAGTTACACTAACATTGACACCAGCCTCAATGTTACAGGCAGTGGGCTTAAGAATGCTGACCATTACAATAGCATTGACACTAGCAATAAGTTTGCATGGAGTTGGTTTGAGAATGTCAGCAGTTACCCTAACCTCCCTAACAG